CGCAGTTTATCGGCTGCTGCAGTGCGAATTACACCACCAAATCGTTCGTATCACCTGCATTCCAAGTAGTGTAACTGGTACCTTCATGAATCCGGCGTGTTTGGCATCAACTCAACCTCAATCTAATCACGCTTACATGATCCGGGCAGTTAGTCAAAGGACTTTTGGACAGTCATTGTCTGAGCCGTGCTCAAGATCCTTAGTATTTGAAAAGCTATGCGCGTGCAGCGCCTCTTAGAAGCACCCATTTCTACACTGGTATACAGGACACTGCGGCAGTCTGTTGTTCTAGGAGACGATATTGTCGACCCTACTTTTCTGAATATCAACTCATTTAGAAGGCGGCTTTGAGGGAAGAGTCCCTCTAACGAGTCCCTAAAAGAGTTTCGTTTGTCCACCTGGCCTGCGATTTCGTTAACACAGTCGATGGTTTTTGGCAGTGCGTTGGTGTAACACGAGCCAGTCAGTCAAAAGTGATGCAGGTTGGTTGTGATTGCTCACGTTGTGCCAATGAATGCATTGTTTACGTTTAGTAACATTTATTTGTAAATATAAATGACACGACTCACAAAAATGGACAAATAGCCTTTAAGGAGCTATAGGATATCCAACTGAAACCCGTCGCTTACGATTGTCCGTCTGCTGTGCTAGGCCGACTCATGTTTCAGTTGGAAGAAGGTCTTTGCTGCGGAGTTGTTTATTATTGGCCGGTTACAGACCATTGGACAGAGAAGCAAAACTCTCATTTGCATCTTATTTACAAAAACTGCACATCCATCTTCTCCTGAATGCGTCTTCTTGAACTTTCCTGGATATTCATTGACTCCAATCATTCATCGCTCAAATCCACGCAAATGTTACAAAGCGACTCCACAAATTCTGCAACAAATCTTCCCTTTTCAAGAGAAGCATAGCGAAATTCCGCGAACAACACATACTACTCGTGTGCCTCCCAGCAGTAGTATCGCCGTTACACTAGTAAGGTGTCTTGGAGCTGTTCAACAGTCCACGACCTTTTCAGCTCTTTTTGGGGCTTATCAGGCAGGCGTAGTCTCCCGATTTCCGTCAACTTTGTTTTCTACTTGGACCCAAATCGGACAGATTTAAACAAATACTTTCGTCCACACACACAAATTTGGCTTTTGTGGGAGAGTTAGCTGAATCCAGCCGAATCTCTAGTTCATGATGGTCCGCTTCAAGTAGAACATATCTTTGATGGAAACAAGTATGTGTGTCTCCCTGATGAGCTTTAAGAACAGCCGAATAAGTCGTGGACAGTTGAAGAGTTTTCAACAGCCTCAGGAGTGGTGTGTTTTATCTAGATTGTAACTACATGTTCCTCCGGTTAACCCCAGGTTCCATGCCTATGCGTTGAGTTGTTCAGGTTTGACGGCCACAGCTGGAGGTATCGCGGTGAAAGAAGTACTCCACGGAGGGTGGCCTTTCATGAATCAGACCTATACTTGTTTGGTACACTAATAAAAACGGATTGCTACAGGATAACACAAAGTTGGCTGCTCAAGGTAATCCATCCAGGAAGAGAAACTGAGAGCTACACTCATACCGGCACAAATCACCACAGTGGCTGAGTGCTCATCAGAAGCTTTTTGCTGATGGCAACCGGACATCGAATAACTCGCAGACCACGTAAATTTTCCTTTTTGAATTTCGGAAACTCAACAACTAATTAAGGTCGAATACGGGATCAGAAAATTCATCCTGTTACGCTAATTATTTGCACGCTGAGGACCACGATAAAAACATGAGGAAGAAATTGAAATTGTAGGTAGAGAATATTGCAGTCAGCGGTGTTTGCTAAGAAAGAAAGGAATGGAGAGATGACAGTGTGGAATTGTGGCAAAAGTCAGCAGTGAGGTGTTTTCGTTTACTCATCCAGCTGGATGTACTGAATACTATAATCTGACCTGTCCCGACAGGTAACAGTTCGTGAGTTATACGGCACTTTCACCTGCTTATTTAATGACTTATATGGGCTGGGATACTGCCTGGGCACCCAGACATAGGTAATAGGATAGTTAGGGCCCCCGACCAGAGCCTTTGCTTAAAAATTTCATCCACAAGGTGCCCGTGGTCGGTATGAGTCTACCGAAGTTGTCCGAAGTAGTTCAAACGAGAAGACTGCTTCCAGACCCATATGAACTCAGTGGGCTGCTAGGATGCTCAGATTGGGCTGTTCGGTAGTCAGCCGTCTGATCCAGTGAGCATGAAGGAAGACGTAGCTCCATCACCAACTTCATGTAACCAAAGATTCACTTCACAAGAAGCATCAAGTATAAGGTGATTCGAACACACACTCGGTGTTTTTACCACAAGTGCCATCGCTTTATGCGATTCTCAAACGCACCATATGACCAAACTGTTGGGGTGACCAAAGTCTTCCAAAAGTGCACTCACAACAAAAGCTTTGTCAGATTGGTTGATTGGGATAACGCAGCTATAAAACAGAATTAGTCAGGTCTAAAAATCAATCCAAGCAATCGAGACAAATCAAGTTTTTTCCTGATTGGAACGAATCGGGAGACTTGTTTGCATTCTTCATCGTTCGCTCAATCCCATCTAGGTTTTCAGTATGTTGGATTTGATTATCTTGTGGTCGTGATTCCACAGAGCAACCATAAAAGTGCATTGACGACCAGAAAATCGATTTGGCGATTCTATTAAAGCGAAGTGAATAGGCTTTGAATGAAATGTTATCGTTTCACTCGCAAATTTGCTGGCAATGTTTTCGAGAATTTTATCCAGAATAAGGAAGTCGGTCGGTTGGCATATGGAGCACGTGGCCAAGCCAGCACAACCAATGCAGTGTGATCAGTTCATCTATCGAGGGTGAGTCATTTCTCCCGAATACCATTCGACGTACTTCAGAATTGCTGGTCCGGTGTTCCCACCAGACTCGGGCAATGCTCCGAAGACATCGATGGTCAAACACTGAAAGTCTTTTGACATCCTCGGCGCGCACCGGTCAGTTTTCTAATCCGTATGGTAATTAAGGCGCACCGCAGCATTGTAGACTCGACCCTTGACAGAGAAGCTGATGTCACGCCTACGCCACAGGTGACACAGGTTCACAAAAGCTGCTCTGGCCTTCCCGATCCGGATGGAAATTTCATCTTTCGCGAAACCAACGGGACCAATACAGCTGCCCGGGGAAACAAATTTGTCTACTACCTCAATCGGCACATCCGCAAGCATGAGGCTGGGGTTCGAGCCCATCCAGTCTTATAGTAGCAATTCACGCTTTGCAGGTGTGAAGCGCATGCCAAACCATGAGGCAGAATTATTTAGATTAGTTAATATTATTTGCATTACCACGGGGTCAGATCCCAGAGGAGCTATGTCGTCTGTGTACTCGATATCTGTGAGCGGACGCCCCGGGAGCACTTCGACCCCACAGGCATTATAGGCTGGTAGCGAGTCTCCCGTGATCGCATCAATGACGGCGTTGAAGAGGAAATGTGAATGAGGACAGCTCTGTCGGACACCCTTTGGTGTGGTGAACTCAGGCGAGAGCTTCACATAGACCTTCACGTGGCCGTGCGATTCGGAGGAGGGTCCAAACCAGGTTAGGTAACCGTACAGATAACTTGGCATGCGGCTGCGTGAATTACACATTGCTATTAGAATTCCGGTGTGGCTGTACACGGATATATTTTTACAATAGCGGAAATACCTACTGTTCATTCATATTTCCTCTGGAAGCGCAAATGGTAATGTATCAGTTGTTCCTACTGTTTGAATTTGATGTGCAACACGTGATTTTCGATAAAACCCCTTCTCCATAGGGTACAACTAACAGGGGAGTGCTTTCGTGAGGTGGTGTTGAATAGCCTACTCGGCAGAAATGTTTCCCTTTCTCAGATAGGTGTTCGAAACGACCCACCCATCCCTCTGCGTGTTGTTCTTTGACAAACATTCATTTACTCCCAAGTATTCTTAACTACTTTCGACAGGGTTTGACAAATGATCTCAATTGCCTAGGAGTGGCTCATCCAACTTACGGTAAGTGATAATGATGGTCTTGAAAACGCTACTCGCTACACCCGATGAGCCCACATAATGGATGTCAGCTTTTGTTATTTCTGCTATAACAAAAGCGTGATGCACATGCTAGTTGGACACACCCAAATAAGGGAGAGAGAGAGAGGAAAAACACGTTTTGTTTGTGATATATCAAGTCAAACCGATGAATATCCAAGCATTGCTCAATTCTGTTCAAGTTTGTAGAACCCGCTGTATGAATGTGTGATGTTTCACAAAACAGTCGATCAAGCTAATTGAAGTCAACAAGAACCAGCTTCGTGTGAGGTGCGAGAAGTCGGCCGTCTCTGCATGACTATCGGTTACTGAGATACGGAAAAATGACTTCTTCAAGGGTGCAATGTAGAGACTGTAACAGATAATAAATGACATATACAGGTGGCATTCCAGTCTACTAATTTCCTGAGTCTACGAAAACAAAGAATTCGAAAATCCAAGTAGAGAAGACAAAAACTTCGTATACAAGATATGTATTGTAATCAGATACAGCCAGTAATCAAGGAAAGGTTTTCTTCGTTGGCTAGCTAGCCTAGTTTGCTTTGATTTATACCAAAACGATAAGTTCGCGGAATGAAAGTCGAGGAAAAAGGTAACTAACCTGAACAGGATTGTCCAAAAAGGAGAAAGGTCAATAGAGGAAAACCACTCACAAGGTTACTGAAAAAGGCGCCGTAACCAGCGACTGATTTCCCCCTTCTTGAGACTCACTAGGCAGACGCGATCTCCCCAAGTCCTCATCAAACTCGTCATTCACTCGACCTGAAGGCGTAATTGTGAGTAATTTCCTTCAAGGAAATAAACGGAACCGAGTCACTTGGTCTGACGAACCATTGTGTCAAAAGCGAAACGTTGTCCAGCAATAAAATCTACCGATTGTCACCAAACGTCTTCGAAAACGATGCGATATATTGACATTTTTTTAGCGACTAAGCCATGAGGCGGCCTTTGTGCAGCACCGTCAGTTGAAGAATATAATACACGTAAGATCCAACTGACTCTCCCGTTAAAACGAGGCTGGTTACTGAATCAGAGTAGTTTGCGAAGCTCCATAAAGATTTTTTCTTCGATCTAGTGATTCGAATCTTTCTGGAAGTCTCTGTTATTTTGAAGAGACTGCGTAGGGTGCATCGATGGCAAGAAATTTCAACTTCCCTGGACAGCTATGATGGTCACTGGCGCGCATTCTTGATACTCATCGTTGATCTTTAAAGTGTAATTTCCGTACAAATGAGTGGTGTCGTAGGTCCCCGCATGGTGTATACCACGAAGCGTTAGCTCAAAGGTTCCAGTCCGGTTTTCCCAGTCACTACTCAGCACAGTTAAAGGCATTGCGAACGGCTCCACTCTTGTTGGAAGCCCAGTTGTTGCGAGGCTAGCCGTAGGTTGATAGTTGGACCATCTGTTGAGACCCCAAGATAATAATGTTCTGAAACTTGAAGTATTCTGCGCTCTCAAAGGCTGTATACTTAGCTCATGCGAAAAGGCTTCATGGACCACCGTCCAGCCAATGTGAAACTGTTGACAATTATTGGTGGAAACGTTGCGGCCTCGTCTAATGAATAAAAGCCTCGAGATCTTTCACATGCTATCACCTGAAAGCACAAGTGCACATGCATATGTTTGTCTCAAATCACACATTCTGTGTCGCACTCCTAGACACGGAGTGAATGATCCGAGCTCCTTCAAAAGCCTCATCATCGACAGCACAACATCAGTCATGGTTCACTGTCAACGCTAGCTGTTTCGAGAATCTTTTGGCCAAGACCGATGCAAGACGAACATGTCGGTTTTAACGGATTAACCAAGAAGAGGAGAGTTTTCAATGGAGCGGGAAGAAGAAAAGTCTCAACAGTAGCCTGTTCTTGCTGACATGCTCTGCTGCATGCAACAAGTAATGTGCCCCAGAGGATGACACCACGTGACGGCCCATGTGGCATGATGATATTACTGTTAGTTGTAGGAAACATGTTTGTACATGGGTTGGGATACAACTAGGGAGTCCAGACGTATGTGGGGGGGCCTCGACTAAAGCCCAACGGTAAGGCAGCGATGTATGGCGGGAGATGTCAGGGCTTTCCCTGTTTGGAGAACACTCGTGATATAACCCTGATTGGCTAAAAGACGGTTTTGGTCAGACCTACCCAATCTGCTATGAGAGGCTCTGCAAGCCTCGCATGCCCCCCTCCGTTTTAGCTCAGTGGATACTCACAAGCTGTTTCTTCGTAACCCTTATCGGCTAGGCTCTAACACGGACACTTTTGAAACGACGATTTACGTTGGTTAAATTCAATTTTCAACCCCTGTTTTGGATTTTGCGAGATTTAAAGGTAAGAAAGGAAAACGAATCGTCCTATCGTTGAGTCACATTCGACCACAATTGGTGGAACAATCGACCAATTTGCCAACACGAACTCCCTGGGGAATCAGGGTTAAACGACTTTACCGTAAATGACGTTTATTGTGTGACAATGATCAATAAAAAAGCTCTGAGAAAAGTGGAACATCGAATGATCAATAGAGGTGGACTGTTTGTGAACGTTTTGGAGGGTCGTACAATAATCGTTACCAATAAGTAAAATTAACGAACAGTTTAGATCCTAGTAAGGAAAGAAAGTAAGTAAGTAAAGAAATAGGAAAAGAAATGGATTTCAGATAAAATTAAGTAAGAAATGTTCGAGCGACACAAAAAATGAAGTATGTGGTCTCCGAACTGTACGGTCCACATGAGAAATCACTCCCAGAGCCAGGCAACATCGTATTAGCTGACACCAAATGTGTACATTTTGCCGCCCCAAACCTCTCTAAGGTGCAGATTAGTTACACAGCTGTCCACATACAGGTGTCCAGCCAAAAACTGCTAAGGTGTGGGTTCGAATCCCCGTGAGAATTCACGGCATGCTAGTTGCCGATAACCGTTGAGAAGATGAATAACTGCAGTGCAACGGCTGTTGTCTTCTGGATATGAAGTTACTTTACTCATATGACTTTCAAAAGTTCATCATTCATTCACGAAAATATGGACAGTAGCTATGATACGATGGTTGGAAATGTGTAAAGACAAACAGCGTATTGCAATTGCTCATTACTGTGCCATTATTATTTTTTCAATAATTGGTAAGTCTATACAAAAACATGCAGCATCTCACTCCCGGTGAACGTTTGTATCAGCCCACTTCAGTAGAGTGGTTTTTTATTGTGCTAGGCTATGTGAGCGAGCAGACAAATCTCGTGACATCCGCACAACTTTTGACCGATCAAGAAAGTGAAACACTAAAAGATTATGGGGAATCCGGCTAAGTATATTCCGATAGTGGGCAGCTCCCGCCGTCGCCTTGACAATGGCAGTAATATGTGTCTACTTAGGACGAACCTTGTTCTGGGCTGTCGGTTGGGCGGTCCATCTTTGTTCCTCTAAGAGGTTACATTTGTAGTATAATTATACGGAAGTCCATTGCTTTGCGTCACGTCACGTTGAAATTTTTCGCCGTATATCTGGATGTATTCCTGTTCTATATACATGTCCGCAGTATTCCAGTCTGGATGTTCACATTAGCCTAGATCAGTGCCACAAGTAAGACTACAGGGCCCTCTCACGGATCATCTAGCTAACTTACACCAGCATCCAAGTACGAAAACGGATGTCAGCCCATGTGTGGACTGTTGGGAGCCGTGCCTCTTAGGAGGCAATATCTGGCTCGAGGCACTTTTTTGCTGGTTGTCGGTTGTCTGTTTTGGGGCACGCTTCACATACTAGGAGGCAATATCTGGCTCGAGGTACTTTTTTGCTGGTTGTCGGTTGTCTGTTTTCTTGAAGCCGGTACCCTGCTTTTATGTGCAGGTGGTGAACCGTTTTGGGTTCCACTCCAGTGTAGTATGGTTTTTGGGGCACGCTTCACATATGTATCTGC